GAGTCACCCTAACCTAAAACCCCAAAACCCCAAAACCCCGAGATGTGCAATAGAATTTTATAAAGTGAAGGCAATTATTGATAATCAAAATGGACAATAATAAATGGAAATCGTCATGACTCAAAAGAATTGTTATTATCACATAAAAAATCAAAGACTATTGAAATCATTTATTTTTTTGTACTTGCCATATATCCAATTTCTCTGCTTTTTCATGTACTGGTGTTTCGATGCTGATTCTTTTATTTTGCTGATTTTTTTCAACTTTGACTACTTTAAAAATTCTTTTGTATATTATTTCTAATCTTTCTCGGCGGTAGTTGAGTTGTCTCAAGTACTCATCTCTACGATGCCAGTACCATTTATAAACTTGCTATCTTCTAAGTCCAATTTTATTACTTATTTCATCTATAAAGATTTAGCTCCACACCTGATTTTTCTAATACTCTTTATTAAGTATTTATACTTAGAATTTGGATTTAAGAGTTTTATTGGCTTTGCCTCCTGTCTTCAAAAGCTTTTTTTATTTCTGCCATATTTAATTCAATTTTTCCTCCTGAGACTTTTCTGATAATTTCTCCTTGCTTATTATTTCGTTTACATTGATAAGCTCATCTACATCTGAGTGTGATGAATTATCTTCTTTTTTTATATCATTGTCAATAGGATCAAGGAGCATTTTATTTGACTGATCGTCCTCTGAATTTAAATGTCCGACATCTATTGAACACAAACCCTTCTTTTATTATGGTTGATTTGCAAAATAAATCATCTTTATACTCTTATCTAATCGCTAATTTTCTTCTTCAGTCTCATATTACTTCTGATTGAGATTGTCTAGTCTTATTTTTGTGCCAACCATCTAAAATTAAACGTGACTTGAGTTTTCTTAACTACTTTTTAATGAAAGACTGATCTCTTTAGATTTATTTGAATTATTTTAGGTCTTATCATGAGAAGGCTCAATTATAGTTTTATGATTTTACTATCCCTCACTATTTGTTTAAAAGTTTTCTTTATATCGCATACCGCAAACGAGATGCCTTTATTGCTTGCTGGAAATTAATTTTGAGGATTCCTGCTTTTGTGATATTTCATTATTGTTCAAATAGGTACCATAATTTTATTGCTAGTACAAGATGAAAGAATTATTGCCTTAGTTCAAAACTTATCTTTGAAATGGTACCTAGTTAATTATTATAAATTGTTGTTATTAATTGGATTGATCAATGCTACTTCTAAAATATGTACTCTTGGTTTAGCATTGACACCCGCAGCAAAAATTCTGTTATTAAGTTTGGATATTATTTTGCAAGTTATCAGGGTTATCAATCATTTTGAGAAATTATTTCTGTGAAAATTAATATTATATAATGAGTTGGAAAATCATTAACGTTGAAATAATGAGAATTCGATATGATTTTTCCTGAATATATTTATTTGTGGATCACGTTTCTAAACATTCATATAATCCTTCTTATTCTACTTAGATGGGGTTTTGGGGTTTTGGGGTTTTGGGG